ATCTCATTATCATTTCCCTCTTCATTGTATAATTACAAGTTATCCTTGTGCTTTGTACAAAAGCGTATAGAACTAAGGTTAATGTATATAAGGTTTGTTTATTATGTGTTCTCCTTGCAAATTTTCAATCTTTGGCTTGTTTTTATAGCAAAAACAGGGGAAGAACATAGGAAATGAGTTTAAGAGAACTTTATTAGAACATTGAGTGATGATCTTCTGACAGTTTTTACATACACCAAATGTGGAGAGAATCAGAAACAGACAACAGACATCGATTTTACTTGGTGACGCTGAAGCTTGCGCGGAAGTTAGATATCATTACCCCGCACTCGCCCTTCTCATCGTACTCTGTGAATTCCTCCCCACTCGACAAATCAATCTCGTCAAATTTGGTTCCAGATTCCTATTTAGATAACAAAAAAACTAAACTCATGAGAGCTGAAAGGAGTACCGAGTATCAAAGACTATACTGGAAACGAAGCTTGGAGTTCTTTGTTCTGACAATTGTTGTAGGAAATCAGAAGATCAAGTGTGAGTGTTAACTTACAGCCGCCTCAGCTTTCCAATATCCACCAAATCCAAAATCGATGGGTTCATAGCCACGACAGTCAAACACCATAAGAGGAGCATGTTCTCCAGCCTCAGAATCTTCCAGAGTCAAAGGTCGACCTTTTCCCGGTATCATTGTCACATTCCCTTCCCTTCCACAGAACTTACACTAGAAGAATTCATGGTGACAAACCATCAAAATTCTCAGTACCAAGACTATTGTGCAACTGAGCCGATTACTTAAAGCAAAACTATACAAAGAAAGAGGTATTCATTCAACCATAACAGAATGAGAGTTTTATTTGAGCAGAGAAACAGATAAATTACTTCCAAAGATCATGGCGTTCAATACGCTAAGAATGGATCATTCAAATGCAATTTAGTTTTATAAGACCATGTAAAGGACGTAGCTCTCATCCCTAAAACCATTGAAATTCTGCTACAAACCGCATCCAATATTTGCTTCTTGGAACTTTGACATTTAACTTTTTCTAGACTCAACCCAAAAGCACAAAGAATGTTCTCAAACAAGCATATATAACGAAGAGATCACGAAAGAGTCAGGACATTACCTTCTGTACAAGATGACAAGTACCCCTACCTCCTGGAGGTGTAAAGGTCTCATTCAAAGTCACACATGTTTCTTTCTGAGTCACCTCTCCACATCTTTCACATTTCAACTAATACCCC